GTGTGTGTGTTCATATATCACATATGAGAAGAAAAGAATTACCTTCTCTCCGTGCCCTTGGGAGATCCGCCGTGCTAAGGGATGCCTCTGGTGGTTACCTTCTCTCCGTCATTCTCCTCTGCTTGGGGTGGNTGGTGATTACGGCATTGANTACNGTTNNTGTCCTATCCATGTTTCCCTTTTGTTCTCCTCTTGGCTTGTTCTCAGTGAGATTTCAGGGAGTTGGGGAGGATGCTTTCTGTTGCAGGTTATTGTTCTCCCTTGCTGCTTGATGCCCCATTCTCATAGGTTAGGCTATTTGGAGTTATTGCTTTTCTTTGGGGTGGATTGCTTGGTCCACGGTCACTTATTGCTCGATTAGGCTTGTGAGGATGGATGCATCTCAGATGGAGTTGTGCAGGGACAGTGCTCTTCTCGTTTCAGGTATGTGTCCATGGTTGCCCTTGCGAGTGTGAGAAATTGGGTTTAGTGGTCATGGATCAGCCACTCGCCTCTTGCGTAGAAGTAGATTTTGATGTGGTTCTGCCTCCGGTGGAGGTGTGCACAGTGTCATCCTTTCCGCCTCTGCGTATTCTAGTCTCTCGGTGGTTATCGGGCCTTGGTATTAAGTGTGTCTTCATAGTGTATGGCTTTGTTGAGGTTGTGGCATTGTTAAGTTGAATTGGTGTTTTTGCTCTTCATGGAGCTTTAGAGGAGAAGTAAGACTAATAGTGTTAGTACTTGAGGTTTGAAGGATTAGTTAGCTCTGTGCTTGCCGTGCCCTAGGAAGAGTGAGCTGCTGCTAACACAGGATTTGGTTTAGAGGTTTCTCGCTGTTCTAGCTCATGGAAATGCTCCTTGAGTGACTCTCACTTGCCACAGTTGGTGCAAGTGATCGAGAACTGTGAGGTCGTTGCCGTTGACGGTTCAGTTTTTGGGCCTCGTATGAAATGCTTCTACTGCTTCGTGGTTTGCGTCATCTCTCTCGCTTCTCTCTGCTTATGCTTCGCGAGATGTGGACTTGGGAAGAACATTTTAATATCGTCATCACTTCGTCGTATTCCAAATGCCTTTGGCTTTGTTGACGCGACGGACTGAAAACCGGTTGAAACTATGTATCCATGTTTTTAATTCTTTTTTACCGTGGATGCATGATCATTAGCTTATAGTCATCGATTGTAAGCTAAGAACATTTTCATTAATAATGAAATATTTACCTTTTAGCAAAAAAAAAAAAAAAATTATATATTTCGACAATCCCTGACTAGTGTGAAACGAACGAACCAAGATTCCGATGCCAAGTCATATGTAATAAGCATATTAAGCAATAGTTTAAGAAAAGAAGCTTTAAAGTTTCTGTAACATTTCATTTTAAAAGTACGTAAGAGTAGGCCATCAATTTATTTATTGTTACTACTATAATTGTATAAAGATAAGAACTATTTAATTACACAAACGCGACACTGTTGTGTACCAAAATCGTCAACATATACGCACGATAGAGACTACTGAAACAACGAAACAGTGTCGGTCCATATTCTTTTTCATTTAAAATTTTCTGCCTTTTTCTGTAAAATTGAATAGAAAATGAGGTGGTTTAAAAAAAAGAAACGAAGATTGGATTCGTGCTATGGATTTGACTTTTCTTGTTTTTTTTCCCCCTTAAGAGTTAGACAATTCTGTGGTCTTGCCTCTTATACCCCACTATGAAAGTTACTTGATTGTGTTCATAACGCTGCATCATTGCGGTAATACTTAATAAAACAAAAGAATATAATTTTCCTATGCTTTTCTTAAAAAGTTAATACTAGTAGTATCCAATGTTATTCTCAATATTCGTATAATAAGACATTAATATATATTATAAAATGAATTTGTTATGTGAACTGTGATAAAGCTATGTTTACCAGCAAATGAAAGATTATGCCATATTTTGAGCAATTTTGCAAATATAAACGAAGTAAATATACTATATATCAATTTGAAAAACTATAGCTTGTATGTATTCTCATGGAAACTAAGAGCATAATTAACGTAGTTGTTAAGTTGGAATCTTAAGTGATTTTTTTTTTATTATAAATTGTATTGTATCAATTAGAATTCTATATTTTGGAGTTCTAAATCTCTTAAATTAGAATATTTTATTGATTTTTTTTAATGTTTTATATATTATTTAATTGTTTTTAATTTTTTAAAAACTCATTAAAAAATCACCTAATAATTACTATTGATTAGGCTCTAATACATCATCTATTGCTATTTCATTTTTTTTTGTTTTTAATAGGTGTGGTGGAATGAATGCATGTGCGCAAAGTTTACTTTTTGTTTTTTCTTCTTTGATTATTGAATATGAAATTGACAATGAACCAATGTTGACTAGAAATGGACGTGTTATAAAAGTCATTAATCCTTTTATCTTTAAACGTTTCCAATCATTAAGCTATGCCTCAAATCCATTTATTTAATAAAATTCAAGAATCCGTAGTGGTAACTCTAATAGTCTATAATACATCTCTCGTTCTCTTCAAACTAAATTCAGACTTGATACTAGAATTGATTATTAATCTCTAATATAACTTTTTTTTTTTAAAGTTCTTGAATCAACCTGTGTACGTGGGAGTTGGGACTCAACTGAAATGTGAAAGGGTCTACTAATATATAATCAAGGACATCATTACTACAAATAATTATTAAATTTTGCTACCGACAATCATGGTTAGATCATAAATCATAATCACAAATAGTTTTGTCGAATTTAATAATTGCAATATGATACGTTTAGTGAAGCTGATTATATATCATCATCATACCGCATTAACTATGATTTATAAATTTTATCTACTTGAACAAACTTTCACTATCAGAAAATCATATCATTTGACGTCAAAAAGAAAGAAAAAAATCGTATCAATTATCAAAAGGTAGATCAAATTAATGCGAACAAATTAAAATCATATTTAATGCGAATATATGTCAGATTTCTTCTCTTAAATAAAAACTCCCCCCACTCGTACATAAACAAACAAACAATCAATCTGTTTTCACTTTTCCCACCAATCAGATTTAATATTAATCTTCTGAAATAAATAGAAATATTTGTTACTATATACACTTTATAATATATTAACAAAAACTCTTATAGTAAACGAGTCACACCGATCAAGAAAAAATATTAAAATAATTATATAAAGAGCCTTAAGAAATCTCACCGAACTTTCATTTTACTCCACATCTCTCTCTCTCTTCCAAGATTGTTCTTCAAGATTCAATACCCATCAGATTTCAGTTTCTTCCACACAAAAAAATCGATAAAAAACGAACCTTCTTGAGCAAACTCTCAAGATTTTCAAAAGCTTACTCTTTTGTTCTTCTCCACTAGAGAATGAGCTTGTTCATATAGTTAATGGATCTATCAAACCGTCACAGCTTTCCTCCGCCGCCACTACCACCGCATATCCTCCACCGTGAGACAGGGCCTAATTTTCCGATCATAGTTGTCGCGGTGATCGGAATCTTGGCCACAGGTTTATTACTTGTAAGCTATTACGTTTTCGTTATCAAATGTTGTCTCAGTTGGCACCGAATCGATATCCTTGGCCGATTCTCCTTGTCTCGACGGCGACGCAACGACCAAGATCCATTAATGGTTTATTCTCCTGAGTTCAGAAACCGTGGTCTTGATGAATCCGTCATTAGAGCAATACCAATCTTGAAATTCAAGAAGACAAGAGATGGAAAGAACCAAAGCGACGGCGTTTTCAGAGGAGGAGAAGAGAAGAGTTCTCAAGAGTGCTCTGTTTGTTTGAATGAGTTTCAAGATGAGGAGAAGCTTAGGGTTATTCCAAACTGTTGTCATTTGTTTCATATCGATTGTATCGATATTTGGCTTCAGAACAATGCTAATTGCCCTTTGTGTAGAACTAGGGTTTCTTGTGATGCAAGTTTCCTTCCGGATCGGGTTTCTGCTCCGAGTTCTTCCCCAGAGAATCCGGTTTCGGACTCGGATACCGTGATGGTTAGAGGTGAAACTGAGTTTCTTGTCATCGAGTTGGGAATAGGGAGTGGTATTAGAATTGGTAGTGACCGAGATAGTCCGAGAAACGGAAAGTTGCTTGCGGAACAAGAAAGGTCAAATTCAGGTCGTATATTGACCGAAAACGCTCAGGATTTGATCAGTCCATCTCTGAGGAAGCTCGACCGAGGAGGGTTTCTTAGGAAAGGAAGAAAGCTTCATAAGGTGACGAGTATGGGAGACGAGTGTATCGACATTAGAAGAGGCAAAGACGAGCAGTTTGGTAGTGTTCAGCCCATAAGAAGATCAATCTCGATGGATTCGTCGGCGGATCGACAACTGTACTTGGCGGTTCAAGAAGCGATTCTCCGGAAAAACCGGGAAGTTCCGGTGGTCGGAGACGGAGGAGGATGTAGCAGCAGTAGTGGCAATGTTAGTAATAATAGCAGAGTGAAGAGATCTTTCTTCTCTTTTGGGAGTAGTAGACGTTCTAGAAGTTCCTCCATTTTGCCTCTTTATTTTGAACCCTAATGGTCCA